TTAGGTTAGACATCAGAAAGCGCTATTTCACAGTCAGGGCGGCTAGGGTCTGAAACCAACTTCCAAGGGAGGTGGTGCAGGCTCCTACCCTGGGGGTTTTTAAGAAGAGGTTAGATGAACACCTTGCTGGGGTCATTTGACCCCAGTACTCTTTCCTGCCATGGCAGGGGGTCGGACTAGATGATCTTCTCAGGTCCCTTCCGACCCTAGAAACTATGAAACCTTTGAGCCTCTCTGTAAATGCCACAGTGTCTAAGACAGAACTGGAACAACTGTGTTCTGTCTAAAAAAATAAGAAAGCCCTCACCATATCCAGAATGTAAAGTTTTATATTACCTGGTATGGAGTGTGGTTCCAAGAAAGAAATGGAAGACATTGATGGCTGAAGTGAAATCTAAACCTATTTTCAGGAAAACTCACATCATTATGGTATATGGAAGACCTGAGCTTGGATTTCATACACCCTTCAGGCCAGAATACTGGAGAGACTGCTTTCCCCAACTGGCAAGTAACAGAGGAAGCCAGTTGTCACAGGTCCTACCATACCAGTGAAAACTATGTTGAGATCAGATCAGTCTCCTGGTCAGAAGACACGAATGCAGGCCAAGGTCTCTAAGTATAATTTAGCAGGAGAGACACAAGTTCTCTAACTCATTCCCTGATAAAATCATCTCTAGATTCTCTTCTGAGCTGCTAGTAGACAAGCCAGAATGTGCAGGCAGGAAACTCCACTGAACTTTGAAGAGAAAGAGGTGGAGCAATCCCATCCAGGATAGCTGGTTTATAAGGAGGCTCTGAGATACCATATCAGATAGAAGCTCAGGAGCCAGAGGCATATATATAACCTCCCTCAGAACTCTCCTACACAAGGACACTTAGGAAAGTTAATCTGAATTTACCATGGGTTAGTTAAACTACACCAAAGCCCTGTGTAGACTCTCTCATGTAGAATTAAATGTTCTTAATTTAATTTATCTTAATTCTCTTTGCAAGTGAAGTAAAGCTAAATCAAATTATGCAAGTTAAGGACACTTTGGCCGTGGCTGGACGAGCAGACTGTGAAGTATGTGGCACCGCAAACATGTCTGTGGTGCCACATACTACACATTCAGATATTCTCTGTGCTGCAAAAGAGTGCTGCATGTGTGTGTATGCTGCTCTGCTTTTTTTTCCCCCAGGTTTTTTTGACCCCTGGATATCTGTAGCAGAGCCTCCTGCACCTCTGCGCTGTGGCTGCACAATTGGCCTTCATGCGGCACTGCTGTTATGCTTTCTGGTGCCCCTGCTCCGCACTCTGCCACCTCATCTGCTCTCCAGCTGGGTCCCCAGTGGTGGCCCTGGGCAGGCTCCTCTGCCCAGATCCAGGGCCAGATTAACTCTTTAGTGGGCCCTTGGCAAACAAACTCGTGGGCCCTGGGCTGGCTGACACCCCCCATTCCCACCCCAGTGCTGCTGCTCACAAGGAGCGGGGAGCAGAGCAGTGCTTGCAAGTCTTGAGAAAAAAAATAGCAGCAATGCCTTTAAAAACAAGCCCAACACATTTCAAAGAGAGGGGAGTGGGGCTGCTGCTCCTGGTGGTAGGGGCT